TAAGTATTGAATTCACTGCATTTGTCATAGCTGAATTTGCTTGTCCTAGCATGCCACAAGATTGAGATGGGCACCATGATTGGCTAGAGGATCTACGATGAGCATTGTCTATGCTTATACCTCTGAATTTTAGTAGACTCCAAAAATCAGTCCAAACATCAGCATTTCCATCCTCAAAAACACCAGAACCTGAGGTAGCTGTTATCTTTACCCATCCTTGGGAAGTCGAGTCGAGAAATGCTGATTCAAAATTTGGAAAACAAATATGCATACACTGTAGAACCACAGCAACACCTGTTGGCTTGATTCCATGCTGCAAAGCAGTGCAAACTTCATCCGCAAGGCGCTGTGGACTTTGGAGCCGTTTTGCAAAAATATCAGCAACCCGAGAAAGCTTGCTTAATCCTACAACCCTTTTTCCAGATGGGACATAACCTACATGACACTTAACCTGGAATGGAAGCAAGCAAGACTCACAGTATGAAAAGAGATCAAGATCTCGAACAATCACAAGCCCACCAACTCCTCCAGCCTGACCACTTCCACCTTCCAATCCAGCTTCAGGGAATAACGCGCCATGAACGATATCATTCACTTTTTGTTTGTAACCTTCATACAACACAAAATATGAAAGACTAGAGTCAAACAGTAGTTTAAAACATCAATCCACCGACCCATCTACAATTGAAACTATCAACATGTTTCATGCTAATAGAAGACGTAGATATCCCTTGCATACAGCATGATGAGTTCTGTGGTGAACTAGCATAAGATAGATGTTCAATGACTTGCAACAATTTGTTATGATGTAATCAAGTTCTTGGTGTTCAAAATTTTTTCACTAAAGAAATCCCTGCACTTGTTTCAACCTAGAACAGAAATCCAGCACTAACCAGCAACCAACTATTTAAATGTAAACTGCAGAAAGGAGCAAAGAACAAGAAAGAATGTTTCTTAAATAAACAAGATGAAATTCCTAATTGCATATGAAGAAACATTGTTCCTAGAGATGCTTCTCTTGACTAGAAAAAGAACACATGATATAATCTTTACTTCCCCTCACGTGTATTGAAGAGACATACACACATCAGTTTCCTTCAACTGTGCTTCAAGGATGAGTATCCAAATCAAATACATGGTTGCAACTACTTGACGGAATATCATTTCATGGACGTCCAAAGTCTGGTTTCAACATTCACGACTTCCCTTGTCCCTAACTACGTATAGGTTCACTTCCAATAGCTTCATACCAACATTTACCAAACAAAAGTGGTTAGAGAAAATGAAGTTATCCAATTTGCCTAATGAGAGGGGTTTCATCTAACAGCCTCCAACCTCCACCTTGGTGGACACACCAGAATGGCCGAAAATAACCTCTACACTGGAAATTGAGCCACTTTTCCGAAACTTCAAAAGGTGCAGCGCTGGGTTCATCTAGAAAATATGAAATACAGAAAGCTCATATCCAACATTGAAAGACAACTTTTTTTCTGGAAAGTTTGACGACTCATGCTGCACTAAATGCAAAGCTAAACAACAGGTGCATTAGGAGATTACTGAACTTCCTAAAGGGGGCAATGGAAAGCTGGAAAGCCCATCGATCAAGAAGTCACGGCAAACCATCCAAAGATACAGTTTTGGACCATCTGGAGGGAAGGAATTTGAGATATGATGAGGGGTTGGAAAACACCACCCTAACCTGAAAAGCCTTCTGAAGTTTGAGGCAATCATTTTTTTTGAAGATAAACTGAAGTTTGAGGCAATCATTGCTTCAATATTCCAGAATAAATATTCTGGCTACACAATGAAAATAATTATTTGGTGTAATGAAGAAAACCAGACCTGGAAGTACTTTTAAAACTCAATTTTAAAATGGTATAAAAGCAACTAAAATAGTCCTCCTAGAAATGACAAAGCTTGTTTGTCTGGTTAAAGCTAATTCCTCTACCTTACCCGTTCTCTTTCCTTTTATACATAATAAGGACAGACTGCTCATAATTGCAGAACCTTCACTAAAGGAGAACAAAAAAAGACCAATTCAGTAAATTCTTCAACAAAAAAAATTCCATCTTTTGGCATTTTCCAACAAGGGAAACACACAAACAAACAGCATGATGCAAAAATAAGCATTCATACTAGCAGTCCTTACTAATAATACTCTGACAAGCTTGATGCACAAACTACACTTTCCCCAGATCTCATGGAGATATTAAGTTAGCAGATCCATTGACACAGAACAAATAAAAAACAAGTATTACAAAATCCAAAAGGGTGTCAAAGTTTACCTCTTGTTCCTTGTCGAAGAGCCTTAGCAACACGAAAAGGGGTTTTCTTGATTCCTTCCCTATTGATATCTTCACCCAAACCCTGCAATAGGACTCTAACAGCATCCTGAATAGCCAGTGTTTCAGGCTGACTTTCAAAGCCAAGCTCAAAACTAACTTCGTTATCTATTTCTGCATGATAATGCCCTTCATCTAATGCGCCCATTGACACACAAAACGAAATAATACAACAGATCTTACCACCTGAATCACAAGTGATGAATCAAGAACAAGAACAAAAATTGAATCTTTAATTCGAAAGATTTTAGCCAAAGATTCCAAATTTGAGACACCCAATGACCCAAATGAGGAAAATTTGACCAAAAATAGGGATGAAAGGGGATTTGTAGGGCTGCTATTGATGAACATATACTATAGGGATCTGGAGATGAGATGCATATGCATTACTACAAGAACTTTGCAGTATTTAAAAAATGTTTTCTTTTAATAATAAAAAATACGCAAATAAATAAAAATATGATTTTTTTTTTAAAAAAAAATGTAAGGTTGCAGTTGATATTGGAATGTGTGGAAAGCTTTACCTAATTCTGTCACGGCACTACTTGTGTACAAAATTAAAGATTTAAGTTGTGAATTTATGATATATCAAACTATTGAAAACATCCCCTTATTAATTTATAGCTTTAAAAATATTTATTTATTCAATTAATTAAACTTAAATATACATCGATCTGTCACATGACATAGAAAGTAATCTTAAATTCTTGTAGGAGCATGAAACTTTTAATAAAAAGCCGAGAAATTATAAATATCGAAGGTGTATGCAATATCAAAGGATATATGTGTATTTAAATTTAGTTAGTCAAATAAGAATGTATTTTTAAGATTGTCAATAATTTGAGGATAAAACTAATAATTCACGCTAAATTTAGGAATTCGGAACTCAAACCCAACTTGGCTTGTCTATTCCATCCGCCGTCGCATTGTAGCAGTTAGATGAGTTTCTCAATCATTCATCGCATGGTTGTGCTTGGCAACTCCTACACCAATAAAACTTGTGAAGATCGTTTTTATTTAATTGAGTGGCTTTTCGAGGAGTGGAAAGGTTAATAGATTCAATCGAACTCAATAACTTTAGTTTAAATTTGGTATGTATTTTAAATTTTTTATTTAATATATATAATTTAAATGGACTAAAAATGGGCGGGGCATTGGTGAATGTTATCTTGTATACACCAATTAAAGTGGGTGGGGAATTGAGATGCCACTAGCCAGTGACCACTAAACAAACTCATCATTTTGTCTTCTACTTAAACATGGCAAAATCCTCATATTGCTCTTCAATTTCAACTCTGTGGGACCAAATTTACCATTTTTGAAAGCATAAGCATGGCATAGAAATGGATAATAATAACATTCACTGAGATTTGGTGGAATTTTGAAAATGCATGAGACATGATTTCCTCCTTTAAATTAAGGACTTTTGGTGGGGTAAGGAAAGGGAAAATCAAGGAGAGATTATGTGGTGGGAAATTGAACTTTATCAATAAAGTTATCAACTGAGTCACTAAGATTCTGTCGTTAGTAAATTCAAAAATATTTTTTCTCAATAAGTAGGTTGTTCTATGATAAATACTAAAGAGATAATTCTTTCGATTTCACTCGTATCGCACTACTAGCTTTTCCGTTGAAATCATAAGCAGAACTCATAAAATATATTCAGAATTCAAGTCAAATTCAAACTTAGCGAACTGAAACATCTTAGTAGCTAAAGGAAGGGAAATCAACCGAGACCCCGTTAGTAGCAGCGAGCGAGAGCGAATTGGGATTTGAAAAAAAACAAACACGAAGCTTCGTTCAAATAACTGGCTGGCGGTCCACTTAGTCGGCTCAAACTGGACAGAAAGGGAAATAAACGCTGTTTTAGAACAAGCAGTTTTTCCAGTAATGATTAAGTTTCACCAATAAAGTTTCTGTCAAGTGATGTTAGCTTGGTTAATTTCTTGCTTTTGTTGATTGTGTGTGTGGCATTTAACTTGACTTTGTAGCTACTCAAAAAAAAAAAAAAGATGACTTTAATTTGCTGGAAAGGATTCTTTCAATTAATTTATTTTTCACACTGGATTCGAATTTTAAAATGAACTTTTCACCAACCTCAAAAAAAGAGTTGGGGTGTGGTGATGACCACGATATAAAGAGCAAAGAATAAGGACTTGAGAAATGATATAATATACATTAATTTGATATCCTGTCAAACATATCACAAAATTCTGCGTAAAAGGTCAAAAACACATTTAAAATATCTTGATTATTGAATTCTAAAATGTCAGGTGTGTGAGCTTACTATTGAACTATTACCAAATAATTATCGAAACACACCTTGACTATTAGTTATTTGTTTTCCTACTTAAATGATAATGATATTTCAAATAGAAAACTCTCACACCTGATAGTTCGAATAAGTATGTTCTTAATTCTTCACTCTAATTGTTTTTAAATGATATTTTATTTTAAATTTTGTGTCAAAACAAATTACCGTAAAAAAGAAGAAGAAGGTTATAGGACGAATGGAGCAGTATAATCTCATGTGGGCTGAACCATTAAATGGCTGGTCTAGTCATGGGCCGAGTCCAGGATATTTGGGCTTTATTGTGTAGTAGCCCAGTTGCCAATATATACCTTCACAAACCAATATCGTGACCCGAAATAATAAGAAAGAAGCGAGTACACTCTCAGTACAGCTCCAAGCCATCAATGGAGAAAAATTCGTCAGTCGGTGCGAAGCCATGGAGTCATCATCCTCATCACCATCACCGTCATCATCACTTTCAGATATTGCATAATTGTCCATTTCACAGCTACATGTTGCAGCGGAACAAACATGGACCAACATGCCCACTTTTTACTCCTTCTCCATTGCCGCAAAACCCTGAACAAATTACTCCGTCTTTACTGCCGGACGATTTGAATATGCAGATTTCTGAGCCTAATGTCAGTTTTAACGACTCAGGGTAACTTTCACTCAATTAATTAATGCTTTCTTGTGCTTTGATTGAAATTGGGTTGATTGTATTTTCTGCACAGTTGCTACCATTGCACTTGGATTTTGTGATTACTGATTATATAAAAATGCCATATGTATTTGCTGGTAATAGTTTTATTTCTTGATATTTTACCTTCTTTTAATCATGATTTTCTGTATAACACAAGCTTAAAACATCAGCATTACTGATCACTGAATTTCTGATTTTGTTTAGAGGCTAGAAGTTTCTTTTGAGGCACCCAAGGGTGTGGCCAAGTGGTTCAAGTCCTAGCCGAGACAAAAAAAACACTTGTGATTTTTTTCTGTGTCCTGTTGTTGATAGAATTAGTGGAAATGCACACAAGCTCTTTTGGGCACCACAGTTATAAAAAGAAAAAAGGAAGTTTCTTTTGAGTCGAGGGTCAAACAACCTCACAACCCCCACAAAGGTGGGAGTAATATCTGATTGATTGTTTAAAGGCTAAAAGTTGGTATATTTCATGGCCACCTTTTGAGTGAAAAGTCTGAAAGCCTGGAATTCATTTTCCACACTTGGGAGTTGTTTTCTACTAGTGTATGGGAACTGGGAAGTAACAATCTATTGCATCTATAATTAAACGTTGGTTCAATGATGGTGAATACTAGTGTATGAAAACGCACCTCAGCCACTGAAGGTGCAGAATGTTTGCTTACTATGCACTGTCTGGTATTATTTTCCTCAGTAGCTAATGTCAGTCAGACTGCAATTAGATGCAGCAATGGTTGGACATATTAAACAAAATTCAGTAATTACCTATTCTGCTGATTGTGACTCAACTGATTATTATCCCTTCCCGATAGGTCTACATCCATCCCTGAATCTCGTGGGTTACTATTTTGTTCCCTTCATTCTTGTAAATGTCACCTGCGATCTGCGCAGGTGTTTCTGCACCCCTGAGTAGACAGGAAATAAAGGATTTCCATTAGCAAATTGAGGAAAGATATTACAAATAGTTTGTGGAGATCCCAAATGACGACTTATAGGAGCATCAACTCCCCCATCCAGCAATATACACCGCATCTCTGCCTTCACGCTCTCCTCCTTGTCCTGACCAGTTTTCGCAGCTGTCCTTTTCTGTTCCCAGAGCCCATTTTTCCTTAGCTCTGTCCATTTTCTCTCTATCACCGTGGAATTTTATGCTTATGTATAACTTCTCTAGGAGTCCTACATCTTCTTACTGAATGCAACCATCTCCAAGTCATCCTAATTCTCTCGACTCCTCAACATAACATTTGAAATCCATTCCACATTTTCAGAAGTCCTCTCAGTTTCAGAACTGTGCATGGGAAGTGGTAATATTGAGTTGATTGCTGCTGAATTTGGGACTCAAGAAATAGGTCCAAAGTAAATAGTGATTTCTATGCATGTTCTGTTTGTCAAAGAAAATTGAAAAGAGGAGGGAGTTTGTCCATCCCAAACACGGAGAAGTACTTGATCCCACTTTTCTTGTCTTTTAGTTTGTTCTTGGAAAAGGGGATGAAGATTGGTTTTGTGATAGTTTGAAAGACAGAGTATTAGTGGGTGCTAGTTGACTGGTTGATCTTCTGTATTTGTTGTAATGCTACATTTGATTGAAACCTGAAGCAGGAAATTCTGGCTTCAAATAAACTCACAGGAAATAAATATAGATTATATTGGAAGTTTAAGAGAGTTTCAATGGACCACTCCTTATAGAATGCAGAGGAAAATGGTAAAAAATCACGGACCTGAATTTAAAGTTTCGGGAATCAAGTAGGTGGTGTAGGAGAAATTGAAGCTAGAACCTCACTGGCATGATTCCTTTTTGGTATACATGTGAAGCTGTGCGCTTGTGAAGTTACCCTTGTGTTAGAGCTGTCAATCTTAAGGCTCTTTCATCCGGTTGATTTTAACTTTTTTTTGTGTGTCTTCATCTGAAGAATGATGCAAAATGAAGGTGAGAACTTTGAAGATGAAGATGAAGAAGAGGAGCCTATTTTTGTCCTTACAGATGAATGGAGAGATTTCTTTGCCAAATCTGAAGCTAAAAGGAGACAAGGTATTTTCACCACTTCCTTCTCTTTTAACTGTACAACTTTTGCTAGAGGTGTAGTGAACTAATGTATTTGATCGGTCTGCAGCAAAAAAACATGCTAAGAAGAAAGGGAAGGGTAAGATCACAAATGGGAACACACCAGCATTGGAGGACTGATTGTGACGTGAAGAATGAAACTGCTATATGTCCAGAAGACAGGACCAGGATAAACCCCTTTGGATAGTTGTGACAGAATACCAAATATCTTAATTCTATAGCTCAAGAAATGTTTCTTTGCTCGAGAAGATGTTATTAACTATTGAGTATCACCTGAAGAAGGAATATGAGCTGATGTAATATGCATTTTTCAAATGTTATCATCATTGTCATCATTTACGCCTTTTAATGAATATTTTTGTGACATCCTTGGTTGAAGTATCGTTTGTATGTCATGTTAGCTGCGGACTTGCAGTTGCTATTGTTATCATCCCAGGGCTATCTGCAGATTTCTGCTTGGTTTTCAATTATCCACAACATAGAACGAGGGAGCCAACTCTTTTTTCAAGGAACTGAAAATGTCATAATGCTAATATATCAGGGATTTGATGTTTATGTTCCTACCATGTCCTTTCAAGATAATATACAATAGTAACTGGTTCACAGTCAAATATTTATAGATATCTAGTAAATTAAGTACTTAATAATATATCTTGCCCGGAAGCTAGGTGCCCTGGTATCAACTATCTTCCAGCTAGCTTGCTCATGGCGGCATTTACCCTCTCATCTGAGATCGATCTATGGCCGTCATAATAATCTAGTATCTCCATTGCTATATTTTTCACCTGTCAACATTTAGAACTTCATTAAAAGATGGTTGTCCAAGCAGCAACTTGACATTAAAATAAGGGATAGTCTAACGATGGTCTTGTTATATTTTGAAATCATTGGCAAAGTTAAGCTTGCATACATACCACATTCATATCAACTCGAAGCTCCTCAAACCAGGCAGTAGTTTCTTTATCTTTCAGCACACTTGCAATATATATGCAAGCTAAAGTAATCAAATGTGGCGGATGAATGAGAATTAGGTCCATCTTATAGGTGTCATTTATAAGTCCCCTAAAAGAAGCAGAATTCAGAAGTTATCAAGATAAAAACAAAACGAATGTAGAATTTTGGAGAGACATATTATGGGAAGTAATATTTTAGAGTAATCTGACAAATTTCGCAACTAGAAGTCAAAGATAGGAAAGCCTCGGAAAGTTTCTTACCAAGTCAATTGAGTTGCATCATTCATGCCGGCATCCTGAAGGAACCTGCAAAATTGAGTTAAGAATCAAGTTGTATGCTGAGAGAAATTGATCAGCTACACAAGGAGGTATCTAGGAGATACTTACTGTGCTAATGAACGATATGGATGATATACGACTAAGTAATAGTTTAGGGCTTCCAGAACTTTCATCTCCATGTCTAGTATGTCTTTTATTTCATATTTATACTTCTCATCCGAATCTGCAGAAGCAAGTCAGAAAAATCAACGTCTTGCATTAGAAATGAACTAAATTGGGTATGTAGCAACAACAGGATATCATAAGAAGTACTTTTTCATTGTAATCTAATATGTTCTTACATAATTTCTTGATGTAAAATACAAGAAGTCGGGCCTGCACAGTGCTTTCTTCTGCTTTTGATGCCAAATACAAGCAAGTTGGAGCAACCAGACGAGGATCATACTCGGTCATACTTCTCCTATGGACAAGAAAAAAGATGGTTAGAAAGAATGATAAAGTAGAATGGTGGTTCAAGGTGAAGCAATAGTAGGCCTGTAGAGCATAAGTGTGAATTTAAAAGTTTCAGTTTTGAAACAGAAAGGACACAGAGTCCAAATTAGAGAATTTTCCTTCCAATTCGTATGACTTTGTCCAGGATCTATTCCAGAAAAGAGTTAGCACAGGATCCCAAACATAAATATAAAACTGGTTCAAAGAAACAGAGCTGAGGGTGCTTTTTTACTCTTTAAGATAGCATTTTTTTTTAACATACGAAAGCATATGACTTCATGTTTGTCAGTTATGTATGCAAATGCGATTTATTGTACACATATTTCTTTTTTATGTAAGAATAGCTAAAGTGGTCCATCCAATATCCTTTCCAAATCAGCTTACTTATTTTACTTAATTTGCTTTGGTTTAGCAAAGTCATTTGCTGATAAAGTGGTTCTACCAGAACATAATAAATCACAATTTGAGTGGCCATAGCTGGTGCTTGCACATATCTGTGAGGAATTTCTGCGGAGAAGTGACTCGGCAGACTCTCTCTCAGACTGCACAGAATTTCCCTATCCAGAGCTGCATCGGAACATTATTGCCAGTAATACCAATCTTCTTTTCTCATAAGTTCTACATTTTTTTTCACAGCACTGATTCACTAGTCCTCTTGTATGATTTATTTAAGCAAGCTAAAGAATTTATGCAATGTCTTTAAGAACCATTACCCCATTAGTTCATCATTCATAATCTTATAGGCTTAAAGCAATATGGATTTATGTCTGGGTGGTGGCTTGTCGGATTAAAAGTTCCTAAGTAATGTATCCTATATGCCAACAAGCTGAAGGTCCTTTTAATAGGCGGACTTTTCTGGTTAGGTAAATAATTTACAGCGAATAGTGTATTGTCCTCCTAATACCAAAGATAGCATGATATACCTGACATATACGCGTCTCATGTACGTAATTGCGGTAGCAACAACCCTGGAAATAAAAATCATATATTAGATACTAGATTTCTGGAAGTAGCAAAAACAGGTGTTTTAAGAAGGAAAATTACACAAACACACATCGTCAGTTCCCTTCTGTGAAAGTTATGGAAATACATGTAATAAACACTCAGGTGCAAAGAGCAATCTTGAAAAGTTTGTGATGAAAAAAATAACTATGTCGATAGGTAATCCACATTGTATGATCCACATATTGAGCAGAGGACACACTTATGTAGTATCACAGCATTGACCTTCCTCTATCGTCAAGCAAGTCCTCTAACTATTAAACAGCTACAGCTAGTAGATTCTTCCCCCTTATTCACATCCAAGTAATGGAATAGATAAACGAACACATAATGTCGTGCAGTATATATCTTCCTACAGGAAAATAATAGGTCTAAACAAATATTGATCATGTCAATGGAAACAACATCCAATAAGCATGTATTTTTATGACCAAATAGCTCTTCCAGTTTTTCAGCTAAAGGTTATGAACCTCACAGAAACATTATGCTCTTAAAGAGACAGTGATGCTGATGAAGGAACATAAGAAATACCTATTACTTATAGCAGAAGTTTTATAAGCAGATGAGGAGAGAAAACAGACCTTTGTCTCACTTTCACATTTTGAGCCAATCTTGCAACATCTGCGAGGGAGCAGAAAATTTAACAAATCAAACGATATGGAAAACGGTAATTAAATTGTCCTGTGCAAGATGATGATTGATAATAAGGAACTGCAAGCCAGGCAACCAGTCACATATACATTAAAATAAAACAAGTAAAGCACAAATTCTGAGAAGTTTGAAGGCATGCAAAGTATGTTCGAGAAAAGATAAGTGGTGCTCAAGAGGTATACTGAAGGTTTCAATTGTTTCAACTATGCCAGACAATTAAATTTAACTGCAACTACCAGTGTGTACATCAGCAAAATTGGCCATATATCATGTAGAAAGATGCACATTTTGATGTTGCCACTGAGTGCCGAAAAAGTACTTTGTCTATGTTACATACTTCAGACAAATATTTTTGTTATGTTGGGTTTTTATTATAAAATGTATCATTGTGATATTGCAATAGATCGTGAATCAGAGCTTTATCCATTTCTGTTGACTAAATTTCCAATCCCATAGCCGACAGCCTCCTTCAGAAGAGATATAATATCTGGTATTCATGCCAAGGGGATCAGGCACATAACACGCACATCAGCCTTCCTAAAGTACATTTTGAGCTCTCAAATACCAGCAGTTTTCATTCTTCCAAAACAAACCTCCAAGCCAATATATAGTTTCTTAGCAGGCAATAAATCTTAAATGACAGTTTTAATAGATTGGCGTATCAATGAAAATTCTAAACTAAAAGGCAGTGACAACATAGAAATTTCCCATTTCTGATCTTCGGATCTTGAGTAATGGTATTAATTTCTTTCATGATAGGAAATTATTGGATACCACTAGAAATAGCTGAAAAGGAAAAGAAATTCTTTATTTTAGGACAATGGAAAACTACTTATTATGCAAGCTAAGAGCTGGGTCCGCCCCTCTAACCACATCAGGATATAAGACAATTAGAAAACAGACAAAAGCTAGATAATGGGCCCGGCCCTCTACCCTCTACCCTCTACCCTCATCCACTTAAATACCAGACTTTAGTCTAGAGCAAAGTTCGAACTCACGACGTGCGCCTAACCCCTAAGTTGCGTGGACTTTTAACTTCTTATGCCGCACCCGTGTCGGATTCTCCAAAAATACACTACTTTTGGAGATTCCGACATGCACCTGTTGACATTATTGAAGAGTCCGAGCAACATAGCCTAACCCACACAGCACGCGCGACGCTCTTACCACTAGACCAACGCCCTAGGGGCTCAGGATATAAGACATTTATAGCTATTATTATTATTATTATTATTGGAGAATCGTGGACCAAACATATCCAATGACAATAAAGACACAAATAACAGATCTTTAGCCACCGCTTTGTACTTAAAGATGCACTTGCTGGTGCTCTTTCATGATCATAAAAAATCACTAAACTTACTGACAAGAAACAGAAAAACAGTCTCTTCATCAAATATGGTATGAAAATGATAGAGTTTCAGTGCTCGTCCATATAATCTAGCAAATAACACATGCTCGATAGGGTAATTACTAAGCAAATCAGAGTAAAGCTAACATTTCGAAAAGGGTCATTTCAGGAATCGTATGAACAAGAGAAAAAAAAATGCAGCTAACAAGGTCACAAAACGAAATCAAGAAAGAAGTAAACACAATTATATGAAAACATAATGTGATATAATCTGCAAACTCCAGCAAGTGATTAATACCCTTGAAAAATTCAAATTAACCTAAAAAGCTATGTACTTTACGCCTGATTCCCATAAGCAAAATCAACCTTGAAAACACCCCCACCCCCACACAGGGGCGGATATACCATTTTGGCTACACCTACTAAAATCTCAATAAATCTAATCCCTGAAGCCATACTTTTAACAATAAAATAAGTCCAATGCTAAGAATCACAGAATAAACCCTTGTGGTTCGAGCCTTCCCCGAACACGCACATAGGGCTAGATTAGTGCTAAGAATCATAAAAGCTGAACCCATTTAATTAAATCATTGGTTATGGGAATTACAATTGGACATATGCAACTTGATGAGCTTGAAATCATCGAGAGTGATGCCTCTCTCTTTATCCAACTGATGCACAACATCAACCTCTTCTTGGTCC